GAACAGCAAGGATACATGTGGTATACAAGTACCTCGGTATACCACAAGCCAATGGCAACCTCGAACTGACAACAAGGAAAGCGGCTACGGCCAAATACCTCCAGCGAGTGAGGCGAGTCCTAAGAAGCCAGCTCAACGGCAAGAATAAGACCTGGGCAAGAAACAGCTATGCCCTGCCAGTGATCAGATACCCTGCAGGAATAATAAGGTGGCCAAAGGAAGAGATTCAGACCACGGACGTTAAGACCCGAAAGCTCCGAACCATGGAGGGTTCCATCCCAAATCCAGCACCCTGAGACTGTACGCAAGCCGAAAGGATGGAGGCCGGGGACTAGTGAGTGTGAGAGCCACTGTCCAGGATGACAGTGGAAACTGAATGCAGCACCGAGGGCGATCCCTCCCGTAGCGATTACGGAAACCAATGAGCTGATATATGCTTCAGCATCATTGAACTGAGAGATGCTTGGCTATAAAGCAACCATGGGAGCCATTAGATACGTTACCCATGGAAAAGACATCTGTAGGAAAAGATCAAGGCGGCTCGGAAAGATACGAGTCAATTGACAGAGCCCAGAGAGGTGTGATGAAAAGGCCGATACCCCGAGAGGTACATCCAGATGGCCATAACTGAAGCACTCGAAACTGCAAAACAAAGGCTCCAAGCCTTGTCCAGTCGCCCAAAAAGGTACACGAAAGAGAATGAGGCCAGACGAATGAACAGGCTGTTCGCAACCCAACCTGTGAAAGTGTACGCTCAGTGGCAGGGTTCTAAGAGCAGCAAAGACCCACCAAGACTGGTAACTGAAAGGTACTGGAAAGGCATATGGGAGAATCGCACATAACAACAGTGCACAATATCTGGAGACTCTTGAGAGAGGAGCCCAGCAACCTCCCTGAAGAGAACTCAATTACCATAACAGTGGCAGATATTCAGGAAAGAGTCTCAGACATGAAAAACTGGACAGCACCAGTCTCGGACATGGTCCACACCTACTAGCAAATGAAACTCATAGCACTCCATGAGCGCCTAGCAGCACAAATGAACCAATTGCTGAGGGATGGGACTCACCCAGGATGGCGAACGATCTTTATCATGAAGCATTCCTCAAAGGGTGCAGCCCCATCACACAACAGCAGTGAGATCGGGATGTCATTCGGGCTTGAGAAATGCCGTCGGATGGTGACTAAGAGAGGCAAGGTAGTCCACACGGAAGGGGTCTCACTCCCTGAAGGAACAATAGCAGACATTGAGGACAGCTACAAGTACCTCGTTATACAGTACCATAAGCCAATGGCAACCTCAAACTGGCAACAAGGAGAGCAGCTCCAGCCAAATACCTTCAGCGGGTGAGGCAAGTCCTCAGAAGCCAGCTCAATGGCAAGAATAAGACCCTGGCAATAAACAGCTGTGCCCTGCCTGTGATCAGATACCCTGCAGGAATAATAAGGTGACCTAAGGAAGAGATTCAAACAAAGGATGTTAAGACCCGAAAGCTCCGAAACATGCATGGAGGGTTCCATCCCAAATCCAGCACCCTGAGATGGTACGCAAGCCGAAAGGAAGGAGGCCAGGGACTAGTGAGTGTGAGAGCCACTGTCCAGGATGAAACATCCAAGCTTTATGAATACATCAAGGAGAAGGCTCCAACAGATGATGTACTCAGAAAATGTCTCAGACAATGGGGAACAGAGGATGAGGTGCTGAAAGAGGGACCATCATGGGAGGACAAGCCCCTACACGGGATGTATCACCGGACCATAACTGAAGTGGCTGATCTCAAGAGTCCTATCAGTGGCTAGAGAGGGCTGGCCTGAAGGACAGCACAGAGGAACCATCCTGGCTGCTCAGGAGCAGGCCCTGAGCACCAGAGCCATTGAGGCCCAGATATACCACACCAGACAAGACCCAAGGTGTCGGTTGTGCAAAGAGGCACCTGAGACGATCCAACACATAACTGCAGGGTGTAAGATGCTGGCAGGGAAAGCCTACATGGAACGCCATAACCAACTGGCTGGCATAGTCTACCGAAACATTGTGCGGAGTATGGACTGGAAACCCCAAGGTCAAAATGAGAAACAACTCCGAAGGTGGTGGAGAATGACCGAGCGAAGATCCTGTGGGACTTCCAGATCCAGACTGACAAGATGGT